CTAGACCATATAGAAAAAAATATACACAAAGCAGCAGCTCTTAAAAATGTATTTTTTTGGGACAAAACATGTTGGGCCAACTTCTAAGCACTGGTCTCAAAATACAAATCACAAGTGAAAGTTAAGAGGTATTCAAATGAGAGGGGGAAAAAATGTGGGAGGTGCCGCTTTATATTGCCAGTGAAACATTTACTTAACTTTTTACAATTATAACAATTTGATATGGCTGCAAATAATTTGAAGATGAATTTAACTTGGCTGCAAGGGTCAAAAACTGTAATTGGGCCCATCCTCTACTTTTATTGAACACACAACTTATTTTTACTGAAAAAGCAAATATACATTTTTCTGAATGGATAAGCATATTGCTGCACTTTATGTATTATCACATACTATATCATATATCAGGGAACATAAAACTTAGTTTGACCACGATAGATAGATAGATAGATAGATAGATAGATAGATAGATAGATAGATAGATAGATAGGATAGATACCCTGTTTCCCTGAAAATAAGACCTACCCCGAAAGACCTAACACTATTTTTCAAGATTCCTGTAATATAAGACCTACCCCGGTAAATAAGACCTAGTTTGGTGGTAGCATGTGAGAGGGAACTTGAAGAGCAGGAGAGATGGTATCAGCCTCCAGGGACACACTGTATTAAGGGGATGACAGGGGACTCCCTCAGGCCAGCACAGTGACAGGGAGCACTCCAGTACCATACTTCACCAACTGCTGTCCCCCTGAAGGCACTGCTTAATGTAATGGTACCGTACTGTAATGTGTACCAGTAAATGGTACTGTACTTTACCGCGCTGTCCACTGTCTGATGTCCCCACTGCTGCACCGCTGTCCCTGATGGCAAAGGAAGCCGGCGCTGTAGAAAGCAAGGCTGCGGTGGCGGAAGGAGCAGAGCCGCATTAGCCGATACTTACTCTATAGTGCCAGTTACTGTGACAGGCGGAGTGACACCACATAACTTTGGATTGTTGTACATTTTGTTGCACATTAAAAAAAAAAAAAAATAAGACATCCCCTAAAAAATAAGACCTAGTGTGTTTTTTGGGGGCAAAAAAAATATAAGACAGTGTCTTATTTTTGGGGAAACACGGTAGATAGATAGATATACATTTTTTTTGTTTGTTACACCTCCCTGGTACTCAGTACAGTTGCTGACTATAAGGCCCCAGGAGGGCACAATACTACATCTAAGAGTAAAATGAGGCCAGCTCAATCATTTCATTACAAACTAAAAACTGTGCCTGTTTCGAGAACAGCTCATTCAGAATGGTGTGTTTATTTAAAATCGATTTAAACCTCAACGGAATAACCTTTAGTTTTCTAAAGCCCAGTGTGTCATACAATTGCCCAGTTTTGTTTTTAGGAAATACTGTTTTCACCTTTTAGTTTTTGGATTTTATTACTGCTGATATTCTCCAGCCTATTAGCGACCCCTTTCCTGTCTACATTGCATGGTCATTGGCAAGGTCATTGGCAAGGTCATTGGCTTACAGTGTCTACTGGAAGTACATGCGACAGGGTGACAATGCGGTAAAGCAGTTGGAAGACAGGGAAAAGAATGTTGCCACTCCAAACAGTAATTACTACAACAAATGTAAAAATATTGAAAATGACTTAAATTGCATGCTAAAAATGATGAGGTACATTAGCGTAAACAATGTTGTAAGGCTTTGGAAATTCATGTGTGTGGCAGGGTTACAATATAAATTTATGACAGTGCCAAAGTCAACAGATGTGTACTAAAGGTGTCAAATGCACATTGCGACCATGCAAGAAGTTTGCACATACACACATTTAACATGTCCATCTGATTGTCCTCATCTCCTGTATGCTGCTGAGCACATTGTGCATGTGATCCAACCAAGCCACTATAATTCCCTAAATTCTAGTACCATGCAGACATAAAACAAGGAAATGTTTCATATGTGAACAGGACAATGAAAGAATGCCAGTGCTTTGTTAGGAGCACAACTTGAAATCCACCATGAAGGCTAGGTTTCTAACAACTCCTACCTCAACCTTAATAGGCGGTATTGGAAAGCATTTGTGTGCTCTTTCCATGTTCTCTATGCTTTGATTTCTGGTAGCCATGTTCTCTGAATGTGTGTGCTGTGTCTGTTTATGTTTTCGCTCTGTGCCTGCTCTGACTATGTGTGCCCACTCCATTTGTTGTATAAGTAGGGGTGGCCCACAACCTTCATTCCCTGGGCATGCGATCACTCCAGAATCTATGTACTCCATGGAAGGCACAGATGACAAAGGGAGAAAGAAACAGGACAGAGGTGGAGGAGAGAAGTGTTGCATAAAGGGATTAAGCCTGGGTTCACACCTAGGCGTATTGAATATGCGCGTTTGTCGTGCGTTTCGCGGTAAAAAACACGCGACAAACACCCGTTTCCGAGGGCTACTTGACTCTATCCCAATGGAAACGCGAGACCAAAACGCCCCAAAGAAGTACATGTACTTCTTTGGGCGTAGGCCGTTTTGTATCGCGTTCAAACGGGCGGAAATACGGCAAGGTGTGAACCAGACCCATTGAATACAATGGGATTTAGATGTTTGAGCGTTTCGTCGAGCGTTGAACGCGCTACAAAACGTTCAGGTGTGAACCAGGCCTAATCCTCAATGTTTGCAGGAAGCCTCCAGTACTGATTTCAGACTGCAGCAAGAGGTGGCCTTCTGCAAAACACACAGGGAGCTGGAGTATGCTCACCAAGGATGTAAAAACAGAAGCAATAAAATTCCAGGAAATGTTCCTCTCTTTTATATCATATTGAATAGGATACTGCATGAAGTTTACTTGTGTTTTATACTGGTAATTCGCCAATCTAAAAACGTAGAAATCCTTACCCTTCTATACAATTAAAATAACATTTGTTCATTAAATTACATCATGAAGTTCAAACTTGGCCCTGGAAAAAATGTACTTTACCACTACTCATATTTAGCTTCAAAATAAAGTTTAGATAAAGAGCATCTTAGTCCAACAACAAGGAGCCTGCATTACCTTTCTTTTTTCAGGCTTCCCCTCCCCCTTTTTTCACCTGGCAATCCTGTGAAGAAAGCAGGGTGGCTACGTTCACTCCTACACTGTATCCGTGGAGCAAGCCATAGTTGTTAACCAGGCTGGACTTCAAACATGTCTACCTTTAATAATTTCCATTACATGTTAGTTCATGGCATTAGTTTACATAAGACAGAAAGATTGTTTTATACTTTCAGGTCAGGTCAAAGGAATGGATATTGACACTACATTTCTGGCAAGATCAACCGGTATTTTCTGTACCGTTAACCTGAAAAAAAGAAAACAAAATGCAGCTACCACTCCCACAAACCCATCTCACCAAAGCTATGTCAAACAATGGTGACAATGGTGTATCTAACCCAGCTAGACTATCCATTTATTCCTATACAGAACCAGACTAGCATGACATTTTATGTAGGGCTGGTACTGATTAAAATTTTCGTGTTCAATTAATCAAAAAAAATTTAAATCGATTAATTTCGATTAATTAGAACACACATACAGATCCAACTACATTGGCCTATATACATACAGCACAGCAATGAAGTAATAAAATGAACTAGGATCACACTAATCCAGCACGTTATTAATCTCACGTGCCCCACTCAATATGGCAGCCGCTTGAGTGGGGCACGTGAGATTAATATCGTGCTGGATTAGTGTGATCCTAGTACATTTTATTACTTCATTGCTGTACTGTATGTGTATAGGCCAGCCAATGCTGAACCAGGATCTATTAACTGTGCTGACAAGTATGAAGTGCAGACAACCAGAAATGCCAGGCACATACCTGCAGCAGATTTCAGTATCTTCTTCACATGATTGTTAGGTTGTATAATTGGCCAAAGCTTCAGTGCTTCCTCTTAAGGATAAAGTTGCCAGCCCCTCCATCCTTGCACATTCCCATCGGCCAGTGAGGCAATCACAGTGATGGGTGCATTAAAATATTTGGGGGCAAGAAATCAATAGCTCCATCAGCTAACGAAGGGAAGGGGGAAGGAGTCCAGTGACGTCGATGTCCGTGACGTCACCGGACTCCTTCCCCCTTCCCTTCTTTAGCCGACGGAGCCACTTGGGGGAGGGTGGAGGATTCCGGTGACGTCGATGTCCTTGACGTCACCGGATCTCCGACGAAACTCCCGGAAGCCGGCGGAGAGGTGAGTACCGATCAAAAGAATTTGAATCGATCAAAAAAATGAACGATTAATCGAGGCATTAATCGTTAATTTTAAAACAGAAGATTGTTACAGGTTGCTGTGGACAACACATACTTTTCTCACTAAAGCATCAATAATCAGGTTCCAATGGGATGTGAAATGACAGGTTGATAAGAACATACAGTGAAAAGACGGACAAAGACAACTGTCACACCTATGAATTAATGTTAGAAAGAACAAACATGCTATGGCTGGGTGTGACAAGAAGCGGCACTTTTCAGGAAGTGAGGCACATATGTCATTTCTCATACTGTCAAACAATCTTTTTAAACCCTATGAGGACACTTTATTTAAACCTCATAGGGAAGATCTATAAAACTGAAAAGACTGAAGCTGGGTAATGATAGGACTTAGCAATTCACAACTCTGCTAGTTAGTTTACCAAAAAATAAAACGTATACATCTATGCATGAATAAATATTTACTTCAGCAAAGGAAAATATTCAAATGACAGTTCGGTTTTCAGAAAACAATTTTTTCCCCAAAAAATATCCTGCAGTTTATCTCTTCTTTCTTCGATAGATGACAAATGTAATTGTTACTTATCCTGTAGAAAACTGAGATAATCTCAGAATCACTAACAACTAAACAGTGTATAGTTAATAATTTGGGGGAAAAAAGAATTTAGACATACATTTCAGTTGAAAGTTTGTAATGATTAATAACACCCTGAGTTGGAGTTCAAAAAAGCGTTACTGGAAGCACAAAACTAAAAAGAAAAAACAGCCTTACCTGGAGGAGGGAGATCAAGTTTTCCTCTTTTCAGTTCTCCCATTGAAAGCTGCAGTTGTTCAATGGCATAGTCATCCTCATAACCAAAATTCTTGGCTAGGTTCTCCTGCAGGAACTCAATTAGGTCTTCCATAGTCAGCTTCATTAAGTATTCTAAACAAAAACACAATGTGGTTAACACACTATACTTTTAATAACAAAAATGCAGGTAAAGAGCAAATGAGAAAAGTATTTCATCATAGCTCCAATAGCTATAAAAGCATAATTATGTGTTTTGGGTTATTACCATTTAATTATTTATGAATAATTAAACCAGAAATAACAATAAGGTGAAAAAACACCATGCTAAATTAAAAAACTTCATTAAATACGTATGACTGTGTAAAGCATATAAATGTTAGTGTCTAGAGAATACATTGCGAATGCATCCGAGTGGTGACGGTGAAGTCGTTTAGTAAAATACTTTGTCACACAGCAGACCTGAAATGAAAGTCATAATAAACCCAATGACAGGGAGAGCTTACAGACCCATTAATATACCATAAAAAATAAAGGCTGTGTAAAGTACGAGCTGAGCAGTTTAATCTTAGTACTGCACAAGTATGGGGTAATAAAATTAAATACATATAATATCAGACAAAAATGCATCCATATCGCTCTTATTATTTTAAGCACTTTGGGGCTCGAGGGCCTCTTCTCCTGTCTGCTCTCTGCAGCTTTCACTTGTGTTCAGTGAACAGAAAGTAACAACATAATGTCTCAGTAGTTTGTGTCGGCATCAAGTTGAACGTGATTAAATCATTGTGTTTACTGGAATATTGTAATCATGTTCTGTCAGAATATATGAAGCAGTAGCCACTGTGCTACCGGGGAAGGCTTAAGCTGTGGTTTGTGCAACATTTCCAGCATTTGATGTGTAGGACTGTGTGCTTTACCATAGAATAAGTCACTATTTATCAATTATCACCATACTTTTAAAATCAACTAGCAAAACAAACTGTTAACCATACACGGCTAGAAAGATCAACACGTTAATGAAAATAAATGCATCTAGTGTTACCAGTGGTATTTTAAAAACAACTAGTATTACTCTCTTAGATTGTAACCCCTCATGGGCAGAGCCCTCTTTACCATCTTGCTTTGAATTGTATTGTAATTGTAATGTCTACCTTATATTGTAAAGCGCTGCGCAAACTGTTAGCGCTATATAATGTATAATAATAATAATTGTTTTATAGCTACAAAGCATACAGTGCATTGACCCCTTCACTTTCTTCATTTTGTTATATTGCAGCCTTATACTACAGTTGTTTAAATTCTTTTTTTTCTCTCTCATTAATCTACACTCTACACCATAATGACATGTAAAAAATAATTTTAGAAATGACTGAATTTATTAAAAAGAAAAAACTGAAATGTCACATGTACTTAAGTATTCAGTCCCTTTACTCAGTACTTTGTTGAAGCACCTTTGGCAGCAATTAGAGCCTCGAGTCTTTTTGGGTATGACGCGACAAGCTTTGCACGCCTGGATTGGGGGATTTTCTGCCATTCTTTTTTTGCGAATCCTCTCAAGCTCAGTCAGGTTGGATGGGGACAGCTGATGGACAGCCAGGTCTGTCCAGAGATGTTCAATAGGGTTCAAGTCAGGGCTCTGGCTGGGCCACTCTAGGACATTCACCGAGTTGTCCCTAAGCCACGTCTGTGTTGTCTTGGCTGTGTGCTTAGGATCGTTGTCGTGTTGGAAGGCCTTCTGGAGAGAGGTGTGTGCCTTTCCAAATCATGTCCAATCTATTTAATTTACCACAGGTAGACTCCAATCAAGGTGTAGAAACATCTCAGCAATGATCAAGAGAAATGGGAGGCACCTGAGCTAAATGTCAAGTATTGTTGCAAAGGGTCTGAATATAAGTACATGTGATATTTCAGTTTCTCCTTTTTAATAAATTCACAGACATTTCTAAAATTCTGTTTTTATTTTGTCATTATGGAGTACTGAATGTAGATGAGGGGAAAAAAGAATTTAAACAACTGTAGTATCAGGCTGCAACAAAACAAAGTTGAAAAAAGTGAAGGGGGCTGAATACCTTCTGAATGCAGGGTAAATGTTAAAAACACACACATACATGTATATATCAAAAAATTAAAAAGTATGCATGAACATTTGGGATATTATTCGTTGCTTGCTATTCATGCGACACCGGGACAAGAAATGGAGACAGCTAAATGAATCAGGAAAAAAAGTTTTGTTTTTTTCTTTTATAGCAATACAAGCCTTAAAAAGGGGAACTAAGAGGCGAGTGAAAATCACTCAGCCTCATAGTTCTAGCCGACCTGTGACAATGAAACTGTCACAGGTCGGCTCAACACATAGCGTCGCTCACTCACTTCTCGATCTATCCCTGCAGAGAGCCTTGACTGTCACTCACGGCTCCCTGCAGGGATTCCCCCTCCCCTGTCTGATTCTCCAGCGCTGACTGGTGGAACTGGCGGGGGAGGGGGCGGGCACAGATGGCTCTGCCTCTAGATAGGCAGAGCCAGCTGTCAATCCCACAACTGGGTGGATCTTGACAGTAATGTCGGGATCCGTCCCAGCTGCATCGTCTCAGTATACCGTGAGCTGTAGCTCGTGGTATACTGAGCTTAGGGTGACGCGAGGACGCTAGTTTGTGTCCTCCCATTACCCTTAGAACTATGGGGAGAAGCCCTGACCCCATAGTTCTCCTTTAAGTTACAATGTAACTGAATCGCTACATTGTTTTTAATAACTATGTAGAACGCTACTACAGTAACCTCTGAAGCAGGGGCTACTATCTGCACCTACTGTACAGGGATCTCAAGGCTCCAGACCTCCACTGAAAAACTAACAGCAAGTCTTGGTGGGATGATGCACGAAATGGGAGTGGTATGAGAGACTGGGTATACCCTCAAGTTCAGCTGGGTGTATCCAAATTGTTCTTGGCCCAGGAGTGGTTACAGTAAACCTGCCACAAACCTGGGCAATACAAATAGCGTATTTGGTGAAAAAAATAAAAATAAATCCTAAACAAAAGGTTACTTTGAGTGAGGCCCACTCGTGAAAAAGGTTACTAGAGCCAAAGATATGGGCTGCCTAAGTTATCGAAAATCATAACTTTGCCTGTAAAAGTCTAGCTGAGTCTTACCCTCTTCTGTTCAAAGACTGTTTGATTAAAGTACTGCATCCAGATCTACTGACCATTTTAGCATTTCATTCTTTGCCTAAGCATTTTTAAATCATATTCTTAGTCTGAACTGCCAGGTTTGTAGCAGGCTTACGCAGCGATGAGTTCAACATGAACCACTACCCATTTCTTCACCCTCTTTTCCAATTGCTTCCTCCACTGTATACAGAGATTTAATCTCCAAACACCCAGGAACAGGAAGAGTGCTAGACACTGAATTTATTTTACATTCATTTCATTGTGTTTATAGAGGATTTTACAGACATGCAACACCTTAGACAGCGAAGAGACATCCATGCGAAGGGAGACAAAAAGACACTGACAAAAAGATACAGTAAAAAATAGAACAGGGTAATGGCTGCCTTGGCAACCAGCATATTGACAGAAAAACACTCTGTATGATTTACAAGCGAGAAAATCATGAGCATATAATTTCTTTGGGGTTTAGAGGTAATATAGCCAGTGCATTCTTGTTTGAAGGTCATCTGAGCATCGTAGAGTTCGTATGGGAGATGGCTGGATGCTCCGACAACCATGTGCAGACCAGGTTGGGAGAGAAAGGCGTTCAGCTGTGAAATGGTAAAGTGATGATAGAGGAAGAGAAAAAACGACCAGAGGAAAGGGCATGGGAGACTGGTGCATCCAGCATAATAACCCATTTGTTTTGTTCAGAACGAAAGTAAGAGAGCAGTCTAGGTTCATGTGCTGGTTGTTGTCAACCCAGGCAGACCATGTCTAGAATCAGTATAATTTAGAATGGCCATAAGTTTCCGGTGCATCATGGTCCCCATTATACTCTTCTTTACATCCATGAAGTTAACAGTTGGCTGCCTCCAAACTTTAGCAACTGTTTGCAGAGTAGACAGAAAGATCTAAAAAAAAAAAAAATCACCAGTATCCTTTTGTGCTTGCTAAGGTCAGAGATTAGTCTGTTTATCAAAGCTTCCCAAGTACTATAAGCTACGTTTAGGCTTAAAGGAGAACTATGAGGTGAGTGCTTTTCATTCATCCTCATAGTTCTAGCCGACCTGTGACAATGAGACTGTCACAGGTCGGCTCAGTAGATCGGGAAGTGAGCGAACACATACCGGCGTTCGCTCACTTCTCGATCCTGTCACGGCAGAGAGCCGTGACAGGAGAGGGACTGGATTCCCCCCTCCCCGCTCCGATCCTCCAGCGCTGACTGGCGGAACTAACGGGGGAGGGGGCGGGTACAGCTGGCTCTGCCTCTAGATAGGCAGAGCCAGCTGTCACTCACGCAGCTGGGCGGATCCAGACATAATTGTTGGGATCCGTTTAGGCTGCGGCGTCTCAGTAAACGGCGGGCTGTAGCTGGCGGTATACTGAGCTTAGGGTGACGGGAGGATGCTAGTTTGTGCCCTCCTGTTACCCTTAGGAGAACTATGGGGAAAAGCCCTAACCCCATAGTTCTCCTTTAAGACGGGTCTGATTAAATTTTATACCTGTATCCATGGTCTTTGTACCTTAGAGCACTGCTACTATATATAGGAAAGTGCCGAGATCCCATCATCCCCAAAAGCACCACACTAGGGGGAAAATCTGTCTATCCAACCAGGGGTCATTTCCCAGTGGAAAAGTATTTTGTGTACAATTTCTTGGACTAAAATATTAGCTGAGCATTTCACTACGGCTGTTCAAATTTTCTCCCACTCAGGTATGTCCCAGGACTCACCCAGGTCACTTAACCATCTAAGTATATTTGGAAAACGTAATTACTTTCCAAGGCTGACAGCTCTGTATAACTAAAGCACAATGGCAATATTTAACATTTCAGACTGAACCGATCCTATTATACTTAAAAGTAAAACCTTGATTTAACCTGTGAGAAAACAATGCCTTAATTTCAGGTTAACTCGTCTACTCTTTTTGGGGTAAATAATTTAGGATTTTTTTAAAAAGGCAGATAGAAAACTGTTAATGCATAGGGCA